TCCCGACCTCCCGCCGCCGCCCCGCCAGCCCCGGGGCCAGCCCCCGGGGGCGGCCGCCGCGGCCTGGGCCGCCTCGCAGCCGCCGCTCCGCGCCCTCACGGACACCGTGTATACGGGAGGGGGGTGCGGGCATATCCCCGGCGGGGGGCGGCCCGGAGGGGAATAGGGCCCCCTTCGAGGGGCTGGGGGTGAGGAGGGAGCGGAGGTGCCGGCCCCGGGCCCGGCGGTGGGGGATGGCTAGAGGCTGGGCCGCGTTGGCAGCCCCCCCCCCCCGCCCCGAGCTGCTTTCGGGGTGCGAAGCTCACCCCGTAGCCCCGGCTGAGGGCGGCAGCGGTGGGATGAACCCCAGTTTGGGGCAAACCTCGGCTGTGGGGTGAACCTGGCCATGGGGCAACCGCAAATGCTTGGCCCCGGGCCCCTCTGGACCAGCCAGCATCCCAGGATGGGACAACCCGGGTGACCCAGCAGTGGGGTTGGGGAGGGTATTTTTGGGGAGGCGAGGGTGTTTTGGGGGAAGCAGAGGTCTCGCGGCTTTTTCTTGGTGGTCCGCAGCAGTCCCATCTGAGGAAGGTGGCAGGAATGTCACCTGCGATGAAAGCAGGGCTTCGTGCTCAAGCGGTGGTGCTTGCAAATAAAAATAGTGCACCTAAACACTGAATTTTTGTAATAGTTTGGGACTTGGTTTTTAAACTTCAGTACTCTTGGTAAATATGGCGGAGAGCTCGGTTGCTTTTTCCCGTTTTGTGGCCACACCAAGTTTTATCTGACCTTCTGAAATCTTTAGACAAGTAGCCTTTATCAGGCCATTTTTGAAACTTTGAATGGGCTAAGTATTTGCTTTGGGGAGTTACGACGACTCATGAACTGGCCTGCTGATATAAATTTTAGATGGTCTTGTTTAAGCAGGGGGGTGGCTACAATTAAATTAATACCTGCGCCATCCCCTCTCTGCCACGTTCCCCTGCAACCTAAAACTAAGCTGGAGGGGAAAACACCTCCTCCTGAAGTCGCACAGAGTTATAGTACTTCTTTTGTGTGTAGACATGGCTGATAATGAAAGTGATGATAATGTGTCTATTTTTAGCCTTTGCCATTCCTTTGAGATTTTTTGCACCAGTGCCTTTTTTTTTCCTAAAAAAAAAAGTTATATTTTTAGGGATTTTTTTTTTCCCCAAAAAGCATTATTTCTAACAACAAAGTCTTCCCTGTGACATGACCTAAGGAATTCCTAGAAGCTGTATGCCAATTTAGGGGGGGGCAGAAGGCTCTGACGAAGGTGGAGCACGGCCTTTACAAACACAGCACTGCCAGTGATTTTACTTTCTGCCTTCTCTCTACCAAAATAGAAGGAGGTGGTGAAATGTGTCCTACCAAACATCGCTTCTCTGAAACACAGCCCGCGTTAGGGACGGCCACGTGCTGGCGATACCTCAGGGAAGATAAAGGCAAGCTTTACATTAGAGGTTTACTTTGCGCTGCGTGCAAGCCCCACAGCCTGACCTGACTTCCTGTACGTAGCCCTTCTCCTTTCCACAGCCCTGCGCTTCGCACGGCTTTATTCATTATTGAACACGAGCAAGTTTGGAGGCACCGAAGCACTTGCCTGTAGCTTTCCTTCCCCCCATGGAGGGTAGTGGGAGTTTATTTACAGCTTGATTGTGTAGTTTTGCTCCAGAGCTGATTTGGCAGCACAGGCTTCTGACATCGTGCTGCTCCGTGCTCTGGAGTAACAATACACATCACCGTACACATGACCCGCGGTATCGTGTCGATTCACCCAAACAGAACTTATGTTTGAGCATCAATTTGGGCGTTAAATCTCCTTGCCTGCTGTCTTCAGAGATGATTGAAGATGACAAAAGCCCCGTTACAGTTTGATCATTCAGTTTAACTGAACAGTGGGAATTTTGCAGTGCTTTGCTGTCTGCTAAACAAATCCTGTTAAACATTTTCAGTTTTGTTCTTTTCTTACTATTAAAAGCAAGGGCGGTCTTCTCTGAGTGCTGAAGTACAGCAGTATTTAATTTATTCTGTTTTATCTTTTCTTCCTACGGGGGCTCTTTCTAATTTAGTTTGTCTATTTAATTGAAGAATAAAGTACAATGTAAATGGCTGACAGGTATTGCCATGTTCCTGAGCTAAGTTTAGATTTCTTCTGTCCTTGGAAGCCGAGATCCTAATGTGTCCGCAGCACAGGAGTAAGACAACCCATCATCAGACCATTATAAAAACTTAGTTTGGCAGCAGCACAAAATCCACAAAACTTTACAGATTCATTCTAGTCACTGTTAAGTTTCCCACCAGGTCTATATCGCAAACTTCTGCTGGCACAGCTCTGTCTGCGAGCGCTGTGACGAAGTGTGACCCGTGACTGACATAGCTGTGCCAGCAGAAGTCCCAGCTGTAGAAGCAGTTATCTGCAAAAGTGCACTTTTACTGATATAGCTTGTTTTCGTTTCTAAAGGGTGTTTTTCCCTCTCCTGGTAGCAGCGCTGCTGCCAGGAAAGCACGGTGCTCCCAGGGATGTAGTGTAATCAGACATTTATTTACCTGGCTCAGAAGGGACGACTGGTCGGGGTTTATTTTCTGTGTGTGGCTTTCCTCTTCCCATCCACGGTCTGTAGGAGCTCGGTCACGTTTGCAGTGGGAATTCTGCCGTGAAAGTAAGTGGTGTTCTGGCTGCTACTTGTTTTCTTTCCATCCAAAGGTGTTTATAAAACTTCCATTTCATGCGATAAGCTGGGATATTTTTTTTTTCCATGTGGACTGTGGTTGTTTTTCATTAACAAGCTTGTTTTTGCAAAGAGCGAGACAGGCTTTTGATCAAGTTTGCCAAGCACAGTAATATTTAGTTTTTACACCAGCCTTACAAGAAATAAACCAGAAAGTGGTCCCAAGCTCTGTGTGGAGTCTGGTAGTAAAATGAGAAAGCACCATTGGAGAAAAATTAATTAATTTCCACACTGGGATAAGTCTTTATTTAATTTAAATCTAAAACACTGAGAAGAAATACTTATATTTACATAGATCACAGGAGCTGCTGTCTTTTTTTGTTCAGAGTCAATGTGCACAAAGATAGATCTTTTGTCTTATTAAAACCTGAGGCCATTCTATTTTTAACTGGTGAAATTATCTGTCAGTAATGTGCATGATTTTTGAGCAAACTTTCTTTAACTGGAAAAAAACCCAAACAAACTGCTTAGATCAGCTTTAATCTGTTGGACACTTTTGGGTTACTTGGATTTAAAGGGGGAAGATAAATACGAATAAATGGCTTGCTTACTATTTATTGGAAAGAGCTTTTGGGATGCCAAAAGGGCACTCGAGGCATTGGTGTAGCCTGATTTGCAGAATAGTGAGAAAGCAAATGTAACAGTGGAGCTTAGTTGTTTGGGAGCATAAGATGGCATTTGAGAGAACTTTGAAAAAATAAGTTAAAATATGTCTTAGGCATATTTAGTTTCAGGAGGATTTGCTGTGGATTTACTACTTTAGAGCATTAAAAGCTAAGCCTCTTGTAATATTTTTTTTTTCCAAATTCTGTGTTTCTCTTGATGATATCCTGTTGTAATCAAGGCTTGGGTGCTTGTTACTTGCTTTCTTCAGTTTAACAGAGCATTTCTCCTGTCTCAAGCAGATTTGCTGGCGCCGTAAAGATATAGATAGCTGTCCTGCATTTTTCTATGTCCCCTGTACATCACTGGTGGCTCAGGCTGGGGGAACAAGCTGCCTTTAATGCTGCACTTACCTTGCTCAGGACACCCAGCTGTCAGGTCTTCCATCGCTCTGGAAAGCTGCGTAGAAACCGTGTCTAAATCCAAGAGCTGTGCCTTCTTCTCCATTTACCAGGTTATCAGTTAATGTATGTGTCAAAACATGCAGCCAGCATGTTGCATGTGCAACATGATGGTGCAACTGTCCCAGCTGAGCTGATTGAACTTTACTGGTGCCAGAAGGGGAACTGCTGCTTTGCTCCCGGCCCTGCTGCTGCTTGTGCCCTGTGCTGAGCCAGATTCGCTTGCTAACCTGACAGTAAATAAATCAACAAAACAGGAGATGGAAGCTGCACAGCCTTCATGTTTTTTAAAAGTGTCGATTCTTAGATCGGCAGTGACAGCACCATCTAACTTCACATTTTGATTAGTTCTTTGGGTTTTAGTGATTTGTCTGTACAGCTTCTCCATCTCACCTGTAAAGATAAAAGCAAAGACTTTCTTAAAGACATTTCTTTACTGGTATCTTTAGCTGGTGACAACGTTTCTGGAATTCTCTTGCTCTCCTTCCCCATCTTAAAAGGCTTATGCATCTCAAGGTCTGTGTCAGCAAATTTCACACATGTACCTCTTGCCACAAGATACCTTCCCCCCTGCCAGCCCCCACCCCCCCAAAAAAAAGATCAAATAACTCAGAGGGGACAATGCAAACACTCTGAAGTATTCTGAAGGAGATGGGAAAAAGACTTTACACGCACGGGATTTACTGATCCATTTGTGACTCTTTTCAGAGTGCCTTGCATTAGATCTCAAAGAGCAAGGTGCAGAGGCCTTTGGCTAAACATGCTGAGTGGCTTTGTTTGAAGCTTGGTAAATTCACAAAGGGGCTATGTGACAGCTACCTGTAATGGCAAGGTAACAGACGTGACTTGGTTTCTGTTATTTGAGAGAAAACTGTTCTCTTAGAGTTCTAAACGAGAAAAAAAAAATCCACCAAAAAACCACACCACAACCTGAAATTACTCCGGGCCAAAAAGAGGGCCTAGAGCATCTCTCCTATGAGGAGAGGCTGAGGGACTTGGGTCTTTTCAATCTTGAGAAGAGAAGGCTTAGGGGAGATAAAATTAATGTGTACAAATACTTAAAGGGAGGGTGTCAAGAGGACAGGGCTGGTCTTTTCTCAGTGGTGCCCAGTGACAGGACAAGAGGAAATGGGCACAAACTTGAGTATAAGAGGTTTCACCTAAACATGAGGAGGAACTTCTTTACTGTGAGAGTGGTGGAGCACTGGAACAGGCTGCCCAGAGAGGTGGTGGAGTCTCCTTCTCTGGAGACATTCAAAACCCACCTGGACACGTTCCTGTGCAACTTGCTCTAGGTAGACCTGCTCTGGCGTCAGGGGGTTGGACTAGATGATCTCCAGAGGTCCCTTCCAACCCCATGTGATTCTATGATTCTATGAATAAAAAAGAGCAGCACTAGAAGAAAATCTCTCTCGAAAAGTTGCCCTAGAATCCTGTTTATAACTTTTGCAGCTACTTGCATATCTCCCTACAGAGGATCAAGAAGTGACTTTGCAGTGTTCAGACACTACCAGAAAGCTTCCTCTCCAGGGTTTGAGAGGTGGTCATTGAAAATACAATTAAAGGTAGGCAAAAGTGCCTTACACAGGGAAAAATTGCCTTATATGATGTTCTACAAGAAACAAATTCTGTCCCTTTCAAGGGGAGATGTTAAACTATCACTGATAAAAATGCTCCAACATGAAAAAACAACTACAAACAATTTTAGCTACAACTCACATGCAGTCAGCGAACACGGAGATTTTTCAAGTCTTAGAAAGTCAGCACCTAGAGCCAAGGAACAGAGCCCCATTTAGCTGTTGCATGTCATGCACATAAGTAATTTAACTAAAGCTTGTAACCTGCATGTGTACACAAGGAACAGATAAGGCTGTGTGTGTTCACCCTTACTTTGGCGTTTCCTAATGTAAATGATTAATGGTGTTTTATGACTGTATGGCATTGTGGCTGTTTATGCTTAGCATTTAGCTAAATGGTTTATTGTCTTTCCCATTTTGCTTGCCTGCAAAGGAGCTTTATGTTTTCTCTAAGAAAGGTATATAAAATGAGCTTAAAAGGGCTGTAGGACTCTCTCTGCAGATTTCCTAGGGTGTGAAATCTGTGGTATAGGTGTACATTTTAAATAAAGTTAACACTGTGCATACGTTGTCTGCAGGCAGATTTCACAGGTTTGCAACCCACAGAGGCGCTCAGACTGTCGACATCAGCAGCAGAGAAATGAAATACTTTTCCCTTTCAGAACTTCCACTTCGAGCACAAAAGCGATAGTAGGGCCAGAGGAGAGAGGAAGAGGAGGGGTTTTCACTCATTGCCTTGCTGCCAAAACAAGTTGAGGCTTGCTTGTGGCACTGATGATTAAAAGTGGAGGTGTCAGAGATAGTGATCTCAGCATCAAAAGAGTAGCACAGCTGTCTACCTCCAGTTCAAGTAGCTCCATGGGAGCTCTCGTACTATTTCACTTGTCCCACCAAAGTGTCCATCTTGCCAATAACAGTGATCAGTCTAGGAATACAGATGACAACCCTCAGGAGAGGTCATGTACTTGCCGAGTCCACGGGGTGATCCATCTTCAGAAAAGTTTTTAGTTTCGGGGTCCGTCCCCACTGCTACCACTTGCAACTTGAGGATTGGTAAATCTTTGACTGTTTACAGACAAAACTAGAATAATCCTTCAGAGCACCCTGCCACCATCCCTGCTGATGTGTATCAGGATTATTCGTTACCCTTAACCAAGCGTAAAGGCAAACCTATTGTGCCCTTGGCTAGGAGCAGCAGGAATTTTTATGGCTGGGGAACTACTGGAGGCAGCTCTCCTCCGAAGAGCCTGCGGGCCTTTGCCTTTCCCAAGGTATGCACCTGCCTGTGGTCTCCAGAGGCCTGTGATGGAAAGTAGAAGGCAAACCAAAGCTCCCAACTAAGGGCTTTTTATCCTGGCCACCAGTCCTTACACAACTACCACTGCAAGCCAAGAGCTCCCCAGTCTCCTACTTAGAACCACCTGAAAGTAAAAGCCCAATTAAACTCTCCTAAACGCTTTTTAAGGCAAAAAAGTACTCATGGGCCAAGGCAGCTCTGCAAGTTGCAGAAGAGAGAGGAATGTTTGGCCTTGTGTTGCTATGAAGGGAGGTTTTGTTGTCTGCTTTTGGATCGGGCAGGGAGAAGGAAGGTTTCCTCAGGAAAAGTGAGGGGTAAAGGGAATTGCCTTCTGCTGGGCACTACACACGCCACAGCTCAAGCTACAGGCAGAAGGGATACATAGCCTTCACCTTACAGGGTCCTGGTATTAAAAAGGGAGCTTTTCCCACATAAAAAACCAGCTATGGTTTGTTGGGGTTTTTTTAAGACATTTTGACAACTCCCAAAATCTGCCTTACTGACAGATCATTTTGGAAAGGAGGATTTTATGGACTGCTAAGCAAAGTTTTGTTGGTCCTCAGATGTGTGCCTTTTGAGTAAATTTAAAACCCAGAAAGCCTCTTTTGTTTCCATTTCTTCGAGTGTCCGCTGCCAGCTGAAACAAACTTTTTTAGCGAGTTTATTCTTCAAGTGAGAGACCTGAACCTCACATTGGAAGCAGTAGTGCAAAGCAACTCTCTCTTCTTTTTGCCCTCTTTGCTTTGGTGTCAGGGTCTGTCCAACATATTTTTAGTTCATCAGATTTCACGAGTATAAAGATAACTACAAAAAACATCCACTTTTGGTCAAGCTGTTAATAATAGTCAGGATTTGTAGATTGTGCTCAAGTTGGCTGTTTACCCTTTAGGGCAGCTGAATTAATTGATTAGTTAGTTTTCCCCTTGCTTTTCAGGAATGCTTCCATTTGACTGAACATCTTTGTGCCTTCTAATCACAAATTAGTTTTGCTTT